TTAATTTTATAGTGTTAATTGGCAACTAAGGTATGGTGCATCTCAGGTGATGTCATGGAGTAATCCAAAAGTAATGTAACTAATTACTTTAAGCAGCGAGTAACAAAGTAAAGTATGGAATTACTTTTTTAATGTAATGTGTAACGGATTACTTTTTTCAGTAACTACCCCAACTCATGCTCATGAATATGTAGGACACTTAATCAGGAGGTCTGTTGATTATAATCCGCATTCATTCCAGACAACTGTGAAAAGAATGCACATAATAAAGTGTGAGTTTGTGTGTTAGTAAGAAGCCGGTAGAGAGGACTCTCACAGCCAGAGGCACCTGAGGCGACGGTATCAGAGTTCTGAAGCGCCGCTACCGAAGACACCCAATGAGGCTGCTCCAGCCCTGCATCGCCATGGCAACCGTGCGCCTGCTTCACTGTGCTGAGAGGCTTCTTCTTGTTGACACTCCAAAGAGACACGGAGCTGAGGTCGTTCAGAAAATCGAGAGAGGGCAAAAGAAACAGAAACATGACTGAATCAGTTAACACGATCACATCCTGGGACAGAACTGGAATCCAGACAATATCACCGTAAAAGCTCTAACAGTCTTACCCATCATCAGCTCCTGTTATCATATGCTCCTCGTTTATGAGCTGGATACAATCAATGGAACCCCTGTAGGAAGACAGAATGACGACAAAATAACAGATATTCTTTATGTTTGTTCAGGAGAACTTCATGAACATTAAAGATTGAATCAATTGTTCAAAAACTCCCAAAATTGTGGGATTATTTCTCAATCTGGAGACTTCAGGTTTAAGGTTCAACTGGCGCTCTTTCAATTATGTCATCTTGTTGCTCTTTCTGACAATTGGCGTCACCTATTGCTCATCTCCTGAACCAACTCTTAACAACTGCATAACAGTAGTGGATGGAAATTGTTCAGAAGTTAATTCTTAAAAGACTATTTAGAGCATTAATCACTTACAATCCATTACATGCATAAATAAATTTACTATTTAGCATATAAATTACAAAAACCTCTATGGTGAACATAAAAGCATCAAGGATGACAAGACCACTGAACATACTGTAATGACTTGGTTATATTACAATCAATAAACCTGAACTGATCTTACATTATCTCACTATTCTTTGATTGTTTTAAACCCTTCATTGCTTCAACTTAAAATAGTTTTTAATTCTTTAAAAAGTTATATTTCCTTACTTGACCATTTTAAAATGTGTCAATTAATTAGAGCGCACACATTTATAAAAAAAAAAATAAAAAAAAAGGTGCCAACAGCAAGACACAAGAGAGGAGACTCACTCGTGGCCGTGGAACACCAGCTGAGATTCCTCGGCTATCTTCCACACCCTCACTGATCGGTCCCTTCCTCCTGCGGTCACACAGCGCTCACGGCTCAGGCTGTCCAGTCCTGTGATGGCGTCCTGATGCCCAAAGCTAAAGCGAGTCACAATCACAGTTAAAGTCACACGCTCAAGAGAAATGCGAGCGTTTGGCAGTGAGATGAATAATTTTGCGATCACTCACAGAGTTTCCACATATGCATTCTCGTCCACATTCCACACCTTTATGGAGCGATCATGAGAGGCGCTGTACAGATCATGAGTCCCCTTCCTGAATGAAAGACCCTGAGCAGGAAAAGACATTTTAAATTATAATCACAAGCGGACCTCTTCAAAAAAACAAAAAAAAAACAAAAAACAAATATATGCTAGAGAAGAAGAAGAAGTAATTCCATGCAAGTGAGAGAATTTGAGAGTGTGAACGCACCGACACGGGGCCTTTGTGTCCTGTGAATTTATATAGATGTTTACATGTTTCTCCCTCCCAGATCATGATCAGTTTGTTCATGTCTCCAGTTGCCTACACAGATGTTGAGAAAGAGGTTTCTGTTATTACATGAATCTGTTGGTTTCCCAAAACTGGCAAAAACAAGCTCTGCTAAGAGAGAATTACTCGCCAAGTATTTCCCATCTGACGATACTGATATACACAGGATGTGGGCTGTATGTCCAACATGGCGGTCCTCTGTGCCTTTCCTTCCACCGGGTATTGTGTGCAGTTTCTTCCCACTCTCAACATCCCCTGAAGAGATAAGAAAAAACACAGCACACTGGCAACTCAAGACCACAAGACAATATTCATACTATTTCAGATTTTTTGCCTCAGTTCTCAAGCCTAAGGATCAGAACAAATATTCGCCAGGATTTTAATGTATACTGACATTTAATGATGGAGCAGTCTTTGGCAGCAGAAAAGATGTACTTGTCATCAGAGGTGATGACCAGACAGGTGATTGGAAGTTTGTGTCCTCTTAACACTCTGATCTCTGAAGCGTCTGGCGGCATGAGCTAAAAGACAGAACAAAAATTAAACAAAAGTCAGTATATTAGATAGATAAGATAGATACAGTGGAGACTGGAGGGATATAAAAGTCCCCATACTTACATCTTTGGCAATAAATCGCTGAAGCTTTCCTTTTTGTTCAAGCTGAGGGGAAATCACATACACAGCACGATCAATAACACAGAACAGTGTATGGCAACTGAACCAACATATAAAAAAAAGACAAAAAAGACTGTCCAAGATTGAGGACATGGTTTGGTTTAAGGGATTTTTCTTTTTGCCAAAACATGCAGAGGTGGCAGTTAGTGAGGTTTATTCAAAGCAGACAACTTAATGAAGTATCGAAAGTATTGCACGACGTTTTGTTGCCTAGCTTTGCAGAAAATTATGGGACCACCCCAAACGAGGCGTCTATGTTATGTCATACTAACGTCAGACAGGTGTCGCATTTGATTTGAATACAGAATATTCTGGACAGAAGATTTTACCCTTTTTTGAACCATTTGAACACAACTGCTTCATAGTGATTCAGTGCTTCAGAAAGCTTTGTTTCCCACCAATCACAGAGAAAAGGCAGCCTACACAAAGCCTCAGTGGACATCAGGGGAGAAAAAGGTCTATGTAAAACATATTGCTGTCAACACTAACAAATGAGTGAACCAGACGAGCATATAAACATTTGTATCTGGTAGAAGTTCAACAAGATGACAGTGTTTAGTGTGGTTCGATATCAAATTGAAGCCACACTGTAACTAAACTGTAAAAAAAACATAGTGGGACAGTAACAGGAATATGAAAAGTGAGGGGTGTCACGTCCCCAGTGGCAATCACACCCTCTAATACAGAAGACACTCCTACCACTTCTTCTTGAAGTCTTCCAGCAATCAGATCAGTCTCAAATGAATCATCTTCTGCTTTCTTTTCCTCTGGCGAGATCAGATCATACAATTAATAAAACACACAGACTACAATGATAGACCTCTATGACATATACCACACAGATAACACAAGCTTACCTTCTTCCTTTAGCTGGTCGAGGTAAACTTTAGCTAATCTAAGTTTCTTCTCCTGCGGCGTTTCCTCATACTCATTCTCATTCTCTTCCTTGGACTGCCTTTTCTTGGACACCACAGGACTGTGCGACAGGAATAGAAAAACAAATACATCTGGTGAGTGATGTCTGCGCTTTGAATTAGGACTATAACTCATCAATTCATAACCCAAAGTGAGCGCATGAGAAATGAACCTCTCTGTGTCGGAGTCGCTGGAAATCTCCTCGTTGTATTTGGAGGTGGCTTTCTTCGCTCGTACTTTGCTCTTTCCACCCGAGTCCCCATCAGCCTGCGCAGTAGAGAACCCACCACGTTTATATTCATGACATACAGTGAGGCTGAAGTATTGTAAAAGGTGTTTGAGCAGCAGGTTAGCTCAGGTGAGTGGGAGTTAGACTACGTGCTAACAGTCCAGCTCACTTACCTTTCGTTTCGGCGCTTCTGTGTTTTTCCCTTTTTTCACAAACTTGGGGTTTTGTTTCGTCTTTATAAAAAAAGACGACGACATGGCAGCGTTTGAAAGTAACCGCTGACTGCACACGGAGCTAACAGCACAACTCTCTGAAGCATCCACATGTGTGCACTGCGACCGAACTATAATGCGGAAGTCAGGTCTGAAGTCAGACGCTGATTGGCCGATCCGTTCAGTTGCTCCTACATGTCCCGCCTCTTGATAGAAATCTGAACGCCCATTGGTTAAATTGAGAATTTCCATGAGCAGGAAACTGTACTGGGGCAAAATACTTCCCTCGGGGAATAAGTTTTCGCAGCTTTGTTCCGCACATAATTGTAAAAATATAAATTTCACAACCCCGCACTCTTATACACATGTGTATCATACAGAGTAAAAGATAAATATAGGAACATTATTTCACAGTTATTTAACCGGAAACGTTTTGCGCGGCTGTGAACAATAAGCAGTAATTGTATCAGGATCTATGTACTGCACTACTGCAGTAGTACTACTACTTCCTCTACTACGCAGTATTTCCATTTACTGCGCTGTCTCTGTCCTCAGTGAGTGTGGTTACAGTTGATCCCAGTAATCGGGCTGAACGGCCAGGTGAGCCTCCTCACAACCATCTACCTTTACAGATCACATGTTTTTGATAGTGTATTGGAAGTAGTAGTGATCACTCAGTGGCTCCAGCTGGAGGCGATCTGGTGGCTGGTAGGAGGGGTTGAGGGCAGGGGGAAGGGGAGGGGGAGAGGGAGAGGGGGGTGGATGCAACGTAAACTAACTTTTCATTATTGTCTTGCATGAATGAGTTTAAAATGAACGGACCGTGTTGAGCCACTGGAAAAGTTTGAATCAAACTTTCACTCCATCTTGTGCAGCAGAAGCAATTCTCGATGTGCCAACTGATCAAATCTGCACTCTCCTCAGATTTTAGTTTTTTTACTCCCATGCCACCCAAGAGAGACGCAGGAGCGACTCCAACACAACCTTCAGTGAAGATGATAAAAATCGGCACTGATGCACAGGAGTTTGGCTGTGATCCAATCGAGGATAAGTACAGGCTGAATGAAGAGTCCAGCTACTCACCTTTCCCCAACAATGAGGTGGGAGATTTTGCAATTTAACTGTGCATAGAAAACAACCGTTGTTTACCTTACTACACATAGACATTGTGTTTCTCATTTGGCAGCATGAAAACATTGAATTTGATGAAGAAAATGTGGCAAGTCCAGACATCAGAACAGACACCATCAGTCTCCTCATGAAGATAGAGCAACTGCAGGCACAACTCAAATATGAACGCAGATGTAGAATTTTGGCCGAGAGAGAGTTGAGAGAGCTGAAAGGTGGGTGGAAAAAGATGACTAATTTAGAGTTAATATGCTAAAAAAAAAAAAAAAAATACCTGGCAAGACTTGGCAGCCTTGTTACTGTATGACTCACTGTAATCACAGCCAGGGCAGGGGTACAGTTGAGGTCATGTTCAATGTCATATATTTGTATATTTGGAGGTTTAATGATACAAAGAGGAGTTTATGGTTGAATGATAATAATTAAAGGTAATGCATTATTTTTGTATCTGTAGTTTCTTAATAATTTGCGAGAAAGTTAGGGTAGTCATAATTAATCGATAGTGTAACCTAAAGAGTCTTTTAGTCAGTTCAAAGCAAGTCAGCTGATGATGCAAAAATTCTCCGAGCTTACAATTTAACATATTTTGAGAATATTGTCTCTACTAATTGATAAAATTAACATTCACCTGTATAAATTAAGCCTTTCTTCCAAAGGCGTTTCTATTTTCCATACATTTAATGCCAGATTGCATAATTTATTTCAACTTTCTAGGAAATTATAAGAAAATTACAGAAAAAAGCATTACCAAATTAAATAAAAGGGATTTATTATTCTTTGCATACCTATGAACAAGTGTAGAAAAAGCATTGAAATAACATTTAGATCCCAATGTAGGAAGATAGTAGTTTTTTTAGGTGGAAGCTAAAATCCTGGCTAAGGCATCATGCCATCTAATAATTTGAATTACTCTTTGAATAAACCAGCTCTAAGTGACTTGTCACTTTTTTTTAACAGAGATGAACACACTCATGATGCAGATGAGGCACACAGCACATGAGCTACGAGTCACTCTGGATCACGTTCTCCAAGGAGGCGATGCAGGAGTTGCACCACAAAACTCTCAGGATGAAACCATCTCTTTCTTGAATGAGCCTGAGGCAGACATGAGAGCGGTTCATAATATCCCAGAGGTCAGTGCTCATACACCCTGTGCCTTCTAATAATGGCAGAATTCTGGGAATATTTTTGAGTTCACTTACATTTTGTTATCATAAGAGAACTGGTTTTATGTATTTATGTATATTGTAATGGTGGACACTTTTACAAAATTGTTGGCGTCAGATTCTGTCATTAATGAATCTTTCTGTGTTTGTAACATTTTTCCTTTTTTGGCCTCAGGATGATGACAACTTCTTGTACCTGTCAGAGAATCTTCGAGTACCGAAAAATCTTTACGAGCGCATTGCAGAGATTTGCGACTACAAGAAGTACACGTCAGCACTGCTGATGATACTTTTTGACAGAGAAACTTTGGCCACACACTCTCTGCAGGGCCGCAGGAACACCTTCACTGGAGAAGATTGCCACAAGCCTCAACTCCCACCTGAGATCTTGAGAAGTATAATCGGTAAGATAAAGAACATTCAGTATCATTGAATTTTTAGGCACGCAAACCTTGTTTGTAGATGCTTATTATGTATGAATTCAAATTTGTAGGCACGCAGACCTTGTTTGGAGATGCTTATTATGTATGAATTCAAATCTTTACTGTGTTTCCTCTTTCAGATCACGTGGCAGTCAAGTTCGGCGTTGATAGCAGCCAAATAAAAACTGCAATCCGGACAAAGTTGAATAATGAGGACAAACTATTAAAGAAGAGACTGGGTTTGGGTAAAGCTGAAAACAAAACTCTTATTGATCAAAGCTTTTGCCCAGATGCTTCACTCCTGCCTGAAACTGAATCAATGGGAAATGATTCTCAGTTATAGCCTTTTGAGTTGGTCACCAGTATCACGTCGGATAGAAGTGTGTTTGACAGGTTACCTTTTTTTAAATCCATGTCTAGGTTATCCATATTGAAGTGTAATGCCAAGTGGGTTATTTTTTTTTTAACACTTTTTAGAATTGTTTCTTTTTTACTTTGACAGCTGTTGTCTGTCGTGTGTTTGAAAAGTGTAAATTCAACCTGGTGGCCAAACCAAGACATGGAAAAGCACTATGAAATGTCACATGTAATCGTGTTTTTATTTAATTTGAGGTAGTAAATGTGTCTAAATAACAGGTTTGTGAAGTCTGTGTTAATACTGGTTTAACATTTCAATGAGCAGGTGTTTGTGTGTTTGAAAGTAGGACATTTGAAAATGTTTAAAGTAATAGGGATATGATTTGTACCCAGTTGTTCATGATGAATTGTGCATTACACCCAGTGATACTGTGTTTTAGAATAGTTTTTTTCGCAGTTGCAAAATATAAGTGTGATCTTCCACAACATCAGTTACATCACTGTTTGTGCTTAACTACGCAAGGGGCCAATAAATATTTCAAACTGATATCCTTCTGTTATCTTAACTTGAACACTGTTTTGTTATGTACAGTTTTAGTACAATATGCTCTCATGGGATTACAGTTTTGTTTTCACAGCAACCAACAGATGTCAGCGCTGAGCTTTTTCACACTCTTCTGCAAGCAGTGATCAACTCCCCAAAGAGTACAATTGTTGTGAAATGAAGGTTTCTATTTGAAGAAATAGTATTAACTTAGTTTAAAGAGGAAAATACTGTATGTGAATTGGTGAAAGGATTGTACGAATCCATCCAATATGTCTATATTCTCTCAGAAGCTCTGAAGAGGAGAATAGAGGATTGTGTGTAAAGACAGAGGCATAGTGGACAGTGTGTGACAGTCACTGCCACATACTGACTGATGAAAGAATGTGTGTGTATGGGACATGTTTAATGTCAGTGGGTGGCGGTTTGATAGAGTCATCTTGTCTTTAAAGATGTGATTTGAACAATCAGCAATTACTGGCTCCTCCCCCACCCCCTCTTTCACCCAAGCCAGCTGTGCTGTCTCAGTGGCCACACAGCACATCACCACTCTCTCCGGTAGTGTCAGCTCTCCCTGGGGATTCATCTTCATGGTTTATGATCACAGTTTTTTGCATAGTTCCTGATAGATAGCTATAAGGTGGACCAGCACTCTTGTGCACATGAAAACAACTCCTGAGCACTGAGTTTGATGCTTCCAAGGAATCAGAGAGGAGTCATCAGCATGATTTGGACGTACTCAACTTTACAAGACTCAGAAAACTTTCTGGAGGAACAACAGCCAATTTTCAACATTTAAGAGTTTCTTGGTAAGTTAGTTTCATGTAGTGGTATTATAATATTAACTTTTCTTTGATTATCAGTGGAGATGATATAAAGGAATATACATGCTGAGAGTATATTTGGTGCATTTGATAAAGAGAAAATACAATAGGTTCTTTCATGTTTTTCCCTATGTAATGTTATCACTCAAAATTCCTGAGAGGTTTAGACCTGTAGCATTTCTCTGTTTTATATGTCAGAGGCTGACATTAATATAAACAAGGCCTATAATCAGGCAATCTGATGACACTTGGACCACTAATGAACTTAAAAAAAAAAAATTAAGTTTATTTTTTATAAAAAAATAAAAAATAAATATTAAAGATTTCTCATTTTGTTACACATTCCCTTTTAGTATTACGGATAATAAACCAGACAAAAAAGTGCTGTAAGGGTTCCTCCACAGATCCTTCACTGACCCTCATATGGTTATTCCTGCTGTACCTGGACAGGATAGGGCCTTATTTTGATGTATTATGTGGAATATGACATTATCTCCTAACTGGACTCTTACTACAATATCAGCAAATTTACATCAAAATGTTGCTATATACAATAACGGAAATGAACTGAAATTCATCTAACAGGATTTTTGTGTCCTTTCTTCCTCAATGTAATTTAGGCTGTATCTTAGAATAATGCAATTCACATGGTCATTTTCAGTATCTTATCTTAAATAATTTACTAACTTTTTTTCATTACAATAGCACATTCAGCCACTTAAATCTTTAAGCTATTTAATGTGTAATATTACTTTTTATTTAATATAAAAATGAATGATGCAAATGCATTAAAATTGGTTATTAACATAATTATGGTCATCACAAAGGGTGTAATTATGGGGTTTCCCTGTAGTAAAATGCTCTGTAACAGCTTTATGAGGGATTAAAAGACAACCATAATTCCCTCATCTCCATTAGGAAAAGTATTTTTTAATGGTGATTTATTTCTCCTTAAAAATAAGCATCAGACAAGAACTACAGCAGAGGCAAAATCCACTACATGTTTCTCTGTTGAATTAATAATTAATAACTTGAACTGACTAGTGGCTGAAAACGGCCATCCTCTTCAGAAGTAAAACGTGGACGGATGTAGCATATGCTGTGCTGCAACTGGAACATGATGGAAAACGAGGACACCCTTACATAATATGCATGAGTATGTACATGTACTAGTCCTTCCTGGGGATAAATCTCACTGCAAACGTGGCATGCCAATAGTCCACCAGAGAAGATTACAGCAGGGGAGAGCAGCAGTGGATCCCTGACAGTAAGCAAGCACATGTATTTAGGACACAGCATCCTCCACAGTCATACATTTTTGAACCTGATTATGATTAGAAGCACAAGATGGTAGATACGCATGTGCATGTTAAAGACAATACAGAGAGTCTACAAGCTGTTAAAGCAATAACGTGAAGAAGTTTGAAATTCAGTTTGTGCAGTGTGCTACTGACATTTGCTACTTTTTCTTTAATTAAAATGTACAGTTAATGCATAATAAATATTCAGTCAATGCTTTCTGTTTCTTTTTAAAAGAAATTACAGAAGGATCGGGGGTCAAACTTGGTAAGAGGTTTCCTCTTTGATGGTGCAGTGCAGGGTGACACTGAACACATATTAATCAATGCAGCCAGTTCCCTGCAGCTGGGCTAAAACAAGCACACTCATTATCTTTCATTTCAAAAGGATGGGGACGGACGGAGGAGATACAGGGTGTCCTCCATGAATTATTCCTATTGATCATGAATCTCCCTCGCTAAAAGAGAGACAGCATCCCTACTTAAATATTCCCACAAATGTGAATGGTTATTGATTAACTTTCCAAAACCTTCAATGTATATATGTATGTGTTCTCTTGGAGGCTACGAGGCTGCAGCAGTGAGGATCTCTGGATGTTTATGTTTACGTGTTTGATATCAGTCACTATAAAAAAACCAACATGTTTTATCTTCTGTGGCTTTGCCAACCCAGATGATGCCATAGTGATGTCATGACACTGCTATGGCGTCATCACGGTTATCTCAGCCTGCATTACAAACTGGATTTATAGCATTTGAAAGATGCAGACGTTTACCAGGCAGGGAAGAAAAAAAACATTAGTTGCATTGTGGGTAATGTAGGATCCAACATTTTTTGAGACTAAAAGACTTAATAAACTCCCTTTAACACTACTTCACTCCCTAAAAGAACTAAAACAGGAAATATTGGCCTTACATTCGCCAGGGGGGTTTCATTAAACATGGCCACAATCAGTTACTCTGCGGCCACCAAATATTTGATGTAAGTGAATAGTACAAGGAGATACAATGTGATGTTAAATAAACAAGGTACTGTTTATTTACTTTCTGTGGCAGCAAACACAACACATAGCTTTTCAGTATTTACTATACTGCAGCCTATGGCGAGTAAAATGAACTAATCCTCACACACCAGGAAAGACTCGCTTCCCACCTTTCTTAAAGGGGAATGCAGTTAGGCTGTGGGTGTGCTAACCATAGGTGGGATAAGTATTCAGGTCCATTACTTAAGAAAAAGTACTAATACCCCACTTTGAAAATACTCCACTACAAGTAAAAGTTCTGCATTCTAACCCTCACTAAGGTAAAAGTATTATAGCAAAACGTGCTTAATGTATGAAAAGTAAAACTAGTCATAGTGTAGTAAAATGATCCCTGTGAATGATTTACTATCATGTATGATGCTCTGGGATTAATATTACTGCTGCATCAATGTGTATATTGCATTTTACTGCAATGGTTTGAGCTAATTTTTACTACTTTATACACTGTTAGGGCATTTAATCTACAGCAGTGCATCATATTCTATAAGATCATTATATGTTTGCACTATTTGAGAATTATGGTATGTTGTTTTACAGAAAATGCAAGTATTGTTATTGAGATATAAATAGTAATCTATTTGTTTTTGCATAAGATCACATTCGTGTCACCAAAAATGTAGTTTGGCCACCAAATTTAGGGGCTTGGTGACTCGTAGGGCCAGTGCTTAAAAATATTAGCCCTGAACATGACTCCAAATGAATGCTACTGGTACATAAATAGGAATCTGTTTGCTAACATGTTTGCCACATCTACTTAAAAGGTGATAAAGCTAGTGATATGTATTGAATCTAGTCTTTATTGGATATGACCCATAAATGTTAAATATCCTGTTTTAATGGACTTTATTTTCTCTAACACAGGAGTGAAGAATATTTAATTTGATGTCCAAAGGATCCTTCTGCCTCATTACTGAACAATGGGGAAGTCAGCATTACAGATGTGTACTCTTACTTTGAAACCTTCACAATGAATCATGGAGGAAAACAGTTCATATCTGACCCGTGAGTACAATGACAGCACCACAGTTTGGGAACCGATGCCCTCAGCTCCCAGCAGACAGCTGGGCACCCTTCCCAACCCGCAGACACGGTTCAAGGACCTAACAGGGATATTTTTCATGGTGACCTTGAATGTTCTGGCACTTCTAGCCAACACTGCTGTTCTGGTTGTTGTCATAAAAGCCCCTCATCTCAGGAAATTTGTCTTTGTGTGCCACCTGTGTGCAGTGGACCTGCTGTGTGCCATCTTGCTCATGCCTCTTGGGATTGTGTCCAGCTCTCCATACTTTGCTGGTGTGGTGTTCACTGTACTGGAGTGCCAGGTCTATGTCTTCCTTAATGTAACCCTCATAGCTGCCTCTATCTTAACCATCACAGCCATCAGTGTGGAGCGTTACTACTACATCGTCCACCCCATGCGCTACGAGGTCAAGATGACGCTGAAGCTGACTGCAGCCGTGATAGTGATGGTGTGGGTGGTCTCTGTCGTGCTGGGGCTATCCACTGTGTTTGGGTGGCCGTCCTACAGCAGCCTGAGCTCCATCAGTGCTGCACACTGCTCGCTGCATTGGAGCCACAGTGACCACCGACGAGTCTTCTCTGTGCTCTTTAGTGTCACCTGTTTCTGCTTGCCTGCTGTTGTGATTTTTGCTGTCTACTGTAATGTTTACAAGGTTGCCCGTGTGGCTGCCCGTCAGCATGGACCTCTGCCCTTATGGACAAACAGTCAGCTGAAGCATCGCTCTGACTCAATAAACAGCCAGACTACAATCATCACAACTCGCAACGCCCCACGTAGGATTATGCGTGACCGGCCTTTTGGTGGCGGTAAAGCCGCTCTCACTCTGGTGGTTATTGTTGGCCAGTTTCTGATCTGCTGGCTGCCTTACTTTGCCTTCCACCTCCATCTGACACTAGATGCAACACCTACAATTCCTGATGACCTGGAGGAAGCCGTCACCTGGCTGGCATATTCCTCCTTTGCTATTAACCCATTCTTTTATGGTCTTCTTAACCGGCAGATCAGGGAGGAACTTTGTAAGCTGAGGCGCTGCTACTCAGCCCGGCCAGTAGAACTGGCTGTCTCTAGCCATGACGGCTCAGGCCATGAGAACTTCCTGCAGTTCCTCCATAGGACCAGTTGCACAATAGAGACACGTGCAAGCTTCGCCACATCCAGTCCAAGGAGCACTCTGGATCAAACTGGGCAGACTGGTTTCAGGATACCAGGACAGATCCCAGAGGAGTTTAGTTAGATATACCTCACTGTTGTGCCACAGTATTTGTAGCCTGCAGGACTATTACAGCTACAAGATAAAAAGTGATTCACAGAGGTTAACAGCACTTGACTGTCTGCAATATATCCGTAAACTGTATTTGCATACAGGAAAAGCTAAGATACAGCATCAAGAAATAAACACACAGTTTTTGTTTTTTATCTTTACATACTTTTATTCTTTTATTTTAGGATTAAGATTATACTCAGAAATAATCCTGGAAAGTTAATGGACATAGTTTCTTAAATTATTGTTACTGTATTTGTGGCTAAACAAGTGTGATAAAGTTACACTTTATGTTGACCAGCTACTAATGCAAAGTTACTGTTTAAGTGCAATCAGTAAATCTCTTTTGTTATAAAGTAATGAACACAAATATCACATTATACTTGAATACTAAGTCATGACAATATAATGAATAGACAGATCTACAGGTTAATACTGTCTCAGAAATTACAATAAGGATGAAAGTGAGCAGTCGTTCATTTTTCAGAAGTTATCAATATCGCAGCAATATTCTTTGTACTTCAAAGTAATTCAGTGTTTTCATGTTGTATTTATGTTGCAGGAATTAATGTAAATTTATTTATTGTACTCAACAGACACATAACTTTTTGTTCAATAATGTATTGTTTTCTATTGCTTTAAATGTGCAAATAAACACTGGTTACTTCAATCATTTATGTAGATCACAGTAAGCAAGCATTTGATAGTGCTAATAATTTTGTATTTTCTGACAGCAGAGAATAATTTATGGCTCTCTGTTCATTTATAATCATTAATCTTGCAGAGACAGACTGTAAGAGTGAAGGATCCAGAGTGATCAGACAAATACCGTAATCGTGAGATCAACAGCCTCCCCATTAAAAGTCCATCATGTGTCCTGTCAAAGTATCCTAGAGCCAAATTTAAATGTGAAATTCCCATCTCTCTCTGGTCACAAAAAAGCACTAAAAGGAGCCATCTGCACCTTCTCTGCGTATGTTTGACATTTTGTCTCTGAGCTTCGACTCTGGATCCTGACCGTTCGTGTGTCTACTTATGAAAAGACTGAGACTGAGCCTAGTTAACACATGATTATATAAGGAGAAAATGCCATTTCATAACAGCTGATGTGGTTGTCTCTAATACCTTCTTCATATGCATAGACTGACAGATTAACAACAAATCATTTATATTTACATACATGTATCTACAACCTACCTACTGTGCACATAAAAATATGGTATATATAATTTGTTCTTGTTAAACTAGGTTAGTCATTAATATTTTTCACAGATCAGTCAATGAAGACAGATTAAATGTTGATGTGTCTGTGGTGTATATTTTTAGGGAGTGTGCTTTTCCCATACAGATTAGATAGACATCAGATAGACATGCCAATAAATAATATGAATTGAATATGATAAATGAAGCAAGAAGCAAGCTGAATTAAATTTTCACTAATCCTGTAAACACTTCAGTTCACTGATATTCACGGAAATCAGAAATCGGTAAACAAATGAAAAGATTCCATAGAAAAACATGTAAAAAAAACCCTGCTTTGCTGTAGTAGCACTGGTGCTGCTTGTCAATGTGAAAAGAAAAGTAACAATAGGAGGAGTGACAGCTATGTAAGGCTGTGTACTGAAAGGCAGGAGAAAATACATCCTACACAAACTGACATCCAAAAACATGAGAAAGAATAATTTATAGACATCCCAATATGTTAAAGGCAAGATAACACTGTGCCATTTTATGGCTGCAGAGCACCAGTGAAACCTCGAATAACAGGACAGTATGGTTATCAATACCAAAAAAAGGAACAAGAACAAGCGTTGATGAACACACATACAGTGTACAAATATGATATAACACTTGAATGGAGGGTTTGTTCCACACAAATGTGTTGATGTTTTAAAAAGAAGATAATATGTATGGTAAAAGATTATTTTTCCACCATTAAAGACACTTAAAAAGGGGATTTAATGTCATAAAAACACAAAGAACACTTTGTACCCCAGAAGCAGCTAAAAAAGAAATGAAGATATATTCAATCTCATTGATCAATTTTTTCCCCCATTTTTTCCTCAGAAAGTTAAACATTAGATACCAGTCTTTTGAATATGATATTTTGTATATGATATAAAAACAGGAGGCAATGGCGTTGATAACAATACAGTTCAAAGAGCTGACTGCCTGTTTCATCAGCCAGCTTCCTTAGTGTGTGATTCAGTCCAATGAATATTTGAGCCTGAGCAGTTTTCATAAGTTGCTAATTAAACTGAAGGACCGCCCACCTCAGTGGCGGCTTTCATTGAATCAAGACAAACGCATCAACTGTGCATCTCTTGTGCAAAGCATATTCATTGTAGATCAAACACAGGCCCACTCTCTATAGAAAATGAGAATCCGTGGCTTGAGCTCAGCTGAGCGTGGTTTTCTGTTTTCTGTACTTAATGGTACATTTGAAAACACCTACTGTTCTGTACCTTGTGTTGTCTGTTTACTTTAAACCTGATGAACGTGTTGTTGCACAGACAGCAATAATGAGAGAACCACTCCTGAGGAATCAAAGAGAGAAGGTGTGATTGATGGTGCTGTCTGACAGAGTGAAGCACATTATTTCATCAGACTTTCCCTCAAACAGTAACAGCATGAGTTTCCTCAGAACTGCATGTACACATGTAACATGACAGCTGCTAAACCGTTAGAGCTCACACAGCACAAGCTCACGTCCAGTGCACTTAGGTCCCCACAAACTAATTAAAGGCCCACAGCCATGCAGGATTAGACAAGTGTGCATAACAGGCATCTGAAAAACACTCCTTAAAGGAATAGGTCGACATTTTGGTAAATTATTTGCAAATAAGTAATAAGACTAATTTATATTTTATGGAAGGTGCATATACATTGTACAACCAAATGAAGCGTTTCTTTTTTTTAATGGTTATTTTTTGGGGGGGCTTTTTTGCCTTTGACAGGAAATGGGATGAGAAAGGGCCACAAGTTGGAGTCAAACCTGTGCCACTGCATTATGGACTCACTTAGTACATGCTTACTTAGGCATACACTCTCCCAGGTAAGCTACTAGGGCGCCCACCGTATAACTTTTCTAATTGTTCATTCAACGTCAGTACAAACATTTACTGTACGTAATGAAATTTTGTTTTTATTCTAATTTTTCAACATGCAGCAGCAAAAATAATTTAGAAAACATGTTTAGTTTAAGATGTCAGATAGTATTTGCTGTCATAATATAGAATATGTATTTTTAATATTGTTTTTCAGTCGTGCGCTGCTCTTTTTGTATTCCTGTTGAATTTATACTGATGAAAACATTTTAATGAAAATTTTTAACAACTTGGCAGTAAATTTAAGTCGAATCAGTGTTTGTGCTACTGTCAACCAATTAGCTGTTCATATTTTAAGCTTTCTGACTCAAGATTATATTCATCGTCCTCAGAGAAAATGTGAAATACCCAGTTGATATATTAGATGGCACCCATGGCCATGGGAGAACTGATTTAGGTCATTTTGAGTTCTTTCATAAAAAACTTAATTAAATTCATAATGGGATATTAAGACTGAATCACAGGCTGATTCATGCTGCGATACTGGTGTTTGGCATTTAAGGAGGATTTTGTGGAGAGGGGATTTCCCAATGCTAAAAATAAATATTTCCCCCATTTTTTTGGTGTTAGATGGGAAGCACTTAATTAGTGATTGCGTTGTTAATATTCAATCTGACCTATTGTACTGAAAACAGCTGGACTGACAGGCGCTGAGCAGGAACACTGTCTGACATCCCTCATGCCCCAAATAAGCTGCAGCTGTTGGGAGTGGTTGGAGTTAAATCAAAGCACTAGTTAAAACAGACACACTCAGTGATATGAATCTGATTAACATGTGTTTGTGTGTTCTCAACTCTTTGGGCCTGCAAATATATATGTTATAAAATGTACAGTTTATACAGTAGAGAAACCTGTGTTTAGTCTAGTTAAAGGTCCTGAAAACTTATTAGCCATATCAGCTTTTTAATATAAGTGCTGGGGTGCTAACTTTGAACCAGCATTTTCTTGCAAAGCACAGTAAGTGTAGGTTTTGTCAATGGCAGACTTTCTGTCTGCACGTTTTGTTTTGCTTTGTTTTGTCACTAGTTTGAGGTGGGTAGAGTTCAGTTGGGAAAAGCTGACCAATCAGGATTTAGCCAAAATCTGATGACTTGTAACATTGTTACGCTTCCAGGTCACTGTCAGTCAAATCTGATCAAAAAACACCCACACAGTCCAGGTGAAGCACATTGCTGAGTTTGCTGAGGGCTTCAACACCATATACAAAATATATAAAAGTCATTTTTGAGCTTTATATAACGAGCCAGAATCAAGCAAGACAAAACAAATATGGTACAAATACTTGTTTTTGTATTCAAATGGACAGGTAAGTTGAAGAATATTGTTGTTTGAAGCTGAGAGACCGAAATCTATTTAGAAAAACTACTACTGCAGAAGAATCTAAAACCTTCCTGTCAACCTAATTATCTTACAACCTCCCCAAATACATGTGACATCTTTGGGGGAAATCAACCACTGGGTACAATGAGCTGCGAAATGTGTCTTATTCTTTCTCTTTTCCTCTCTTTTTCCTCCTTCTCTCTTGGTTACTCATACACTCACTCTCCGCTTACTCACCTGTGCAGCCACGGACACAAACAAACCCCATCTGGCGAGGTGTGCAGTCCATTAGCATACCGTTGTCTCCGGCACAGACACAGGAAATTCTGTCATCAATAAACTGTGTTCTTTCTCTGTCTTCATCCAGCAGCCAGAAATTATGATTACCATGGAGACAGTGCAGTGCTCATCGCAGAGTAGCTCACTTATGTTCAACTTTGAACAGATGTACAGTTTGTTATGTACTTTGTTTGTTATGTATTTAACAGTAATTGTTCAACCTTTTTGAAAACATTTCCATTTTGTTTCTTCTTTTAAAATAAAGTATAGTTACAAATTTCAGACTCTTGCATGCATAGCTCTTACAATCACAATCACCTTAATTTTATTTTATTTATTTACGAGGTTCTATGATGTGAGGACATTTCCGCAGAAGGTACTTGGTATAATTATCAGATTAGTAATATTATTTTATCAGATTATCACTTTGCTTTCCAGCTGCTGTTCTGGGTCTTTATTTGGTGATGATGATGATGATGAGAGCAGTGTGAGATGGCCTTGTGATGAAGGTCTGATGGGTAGCTGAGAAGAGTCTGGTCTAACTCTGTGGATTCATAGCTGACCTATTAATAGCAGTGAGGATGACTGGTTAATGGGTCCAAAGGTTGATAGGGGTGAAAGGGTTTTCCTTAAAAGCATGTTGCGAAACATGCTTTACACCAGATAGAGTGTAGAGACCCAAGAAGACTCTTCATACTATCTGGGCCTAGAGGAGAATATTGTGATAACATGCAATATGTCTCGTGTTGCTTCCGCATTGTAAGTGATGCTGGTGGTGAACTGGAAAGAGCGAACTAAGGCAGTAAATTATCATCCAAGCTGAGCAAATAACAGGTTTCCATCAAAAGGATGGATTTTGCGTGAGCTATAGGCCATAAAGGTGTATGAAAATGGGGGCTTTTATAGCACATTTCAGTTTTCACCAAAAATAAAAAACACGGTAAACATGTCTCTCTCCCACAGTTTTACCTCCTCCATAACTGAAAATGCTGCCACAAGCCTCCTCTTGCTTACAATGTAAATACATTGACTGCGGTACAATCTGCACACTGCACAACTTGTATACGACCAGCCATTATACATCCTCATGTACTGCAAGTCCGCCTGCCACTAATAATGTTCAAATCTCTGTCCTAGAAGCTTCTTTTTAAGCAAATACATTTAAATATGAAAATTCAAGCTTACAATTTGTTGTGTGATGTGTTGGTTCAGTGCATACAATTACTACTTTACAAACAGGGCAAAACTTATATCCCTCTTCTTGGCATCAATTCTTGCAGATTTTCAATATATTAATCTTCCAGGGGGTGTTAAAGTAACATTCAAATACAATATTTGCTTCTATAAAGCTTATCTTTAATATGATTATTTAATACTTAGAGTCAATAAAACAACAAGATTTGTGTTAATATAAGTGTAGGGGTCCTACGTGAACACAGCATTTTCTGCAAAAGCACAGTAAGTGTCTGCGCTGTTTTGTTTTGCCTAGTTTGAGGTGGGTAGAGTTCAGTTGGAAAAACCTGACCATTACTTGACTTAGAGTCAATAAAACAAAAAGATTTGTCTTACATTTTGTTGTCTTGTAACAGTATGAACAGTCCACTGGTTTATGATCTTGTCACTTTTGTACTTTTGTTCACCTTTTAGTTCAAGAGGTTGTGAGTTTTGAACCCATGTGCTGCTGATTGAGACTGCATCCCTCTCCTCTCTCTTTCCCTGTATTAAACTGTTAGTTAACTAAAACCTTCAGGTTTTATCCACAATTTAAAACCACTTTTGTCTCAGAAACACAAACAATATATGAGAAAACAACACATCACACTGGTATGCACAAACAATTCTTAAGTAAACTTTTGCCTGGATAAAGTACAACCCTTATATGAAGAAATTTGTTTTATATGTTTATTGTGCGACTCCAGCTCCCCTTATTATTACAAGAGTATCAGAGCTACAACCCTCCATGAGAATGAATATGACATACTAAAGCATGGCACCAATAGCTCCATCTTGTGGACTTTATTAACACCATACTTACTATTACCATTTCTCTTTAACAAAATTTTCCATGGGAACAAAGTTCCACATAGCTATACACATGGGGATGCTGAAGTCAATTTCAACTATAGGTGGCAGTGAAAAATTCACAAAGTCAAAAATGACCTGACCTGTAGGTTTGAGGTAATTTCCTAAAGAATGTAGTTTTGTGACCAGTTTGTCTCTCTGAGCCTGAGACAGAATAACATTTAAGTACATATAATAATGGTGGGGCTGTAGTGCAGGGATGGGCTGAGGCTTGAGGTAAGTCACAGGAGTAATATGGGGACTTACTTGTTTGCTGAAAGCAGCATGTAGCATTTTATGTTTTGTACCTTTTGCAAATTTGCCTAACCTATACATTTTTGCGCCATTTTGGAGTTTTGGCCATATGGCATCTAATATTTGACAAATCTGGTACACATTTAGATTACTTGTACATATTTAGATTACTCTGAACAAGTTTGTGTTTTTTTAATATTCCCTACCAGGCACATCTGATTGCTCCGCAAGATAAATAATTTCCATTGCAGGCCAGAGGGAGGCAGTATTGTCTTGTCTTAACTTGTCAATCTTTTCTAACGCAAAGACACTTCTTAAGTGAAAATGACACTTGGAAATGAATGACATCGTAGAATCAAAACATACTTGTGTCAAATATTCCAGTTGGAAGTTACTTGATGTGCATTGTTTTACTCTATCTTGTTCCCATGCTTGCAGATTTCTCTCATGTTGTCTGCATTCATGCGATTGCTTTCACAGTGGGGTGTATCAGTGTATACAGAGCCATCTCCATGGTTAGAGTATTTATATCCCTCCCGGTCCTTCCTATCCTCCCACAGCACAGGAAAATGATCTTCACTTGTAAGACCATCTGCAAATACCACCCAGGGCACTGTAATGTTCCCAATATAACCTCACTGCACAGCCAGCTGAGGGGTCCTGTCAGCGGTCCCAGTCTGGGCTGTATACAGGGAAGTGACAGGCACCGACTCTGCTCTCTGGATTATTGTTTTCTTCACATGTTTGAATGGACATCATGATGAAAGGAGAAGATTCAGAGGAAGTCGAGATTGACTTGGGAGACTCCAGTGATCCTGATGAATTTGATAATGAGGAGGAACCTCAGACACTGTGGAGGGCCCCTCCTGCTCTGGAGGAAGAGGAAAATATTCATACATCTACACTAGTGGAAATCAGTGATACCAAGCCCTTGATTAATGTCAGAGACCCCCGAGGTATCAATGACTGTCTCAAGGTATTGCATTCTCATTCAGTGGCTCTACTGAACTGTGTTTTATGGACAATTTGTGCATTTGTCACATGTAGTGAGTTAGCTGATTTTAAAATCACACTAAAACATTGGCATGTAGAACCAAGAAACTGCTTGGCGGATTGCACTGCCCTGTGATTATTTCTGAAGATGAATCAATTCCAACAGCAACATGACTTAAAGGTTCACCTCTGTGAACACTTTCTTTTTGTATCTCCAGGTGACGTTTGAGGATGTAATTGCCGAGCCGGTGTCAGTGCGCAGTGGGGACAGAGTGTGGATCTGGAGTAACGCCCTATTTGAGGTGACTAGGGTTTGGATCTACAGGATAGTCACAGTGCTTCTGGCCATTCCTGTGTCAATTATCTCTGGTCTCCTCTTTGCCATCTTGAGCTGTCTTCACATCTGGTAGGTTCAAACCGTGCCCTCCTGCACACATTAAAAGGACAACATGTCACTTTTTTTGCTCTCTTGCTTCTTAACAGATCTTTTGGTTTAATTTGGCCAGATCACGAGATATCAATCTCTTTCTGCTTCCACCGAAGTAACATGGGAGCGAATGGAAGTTTGTTTGTGGTGCTTAAAACCACAAATGATGACACTAGATGAAAACGCAGTTGATCACCAAATCACTGTACACTGTTTCTGGAAAGATTTACTGTTTTTTAAATTTCATTCCTCTTAGCTTAATAGGCCCCCAAACCCCTAAAGATGAGACAGGCCTCTGAGAAATATCCATATTGCAATATTCTCTGCAAATTTTTTTGGACGGGCACTCCAATACTTTTGCAAATATAGTTGGGCAATCACGTTCTCATCCCAGTTTGTCAAATACTTACGCTGTTTTGTCATGTCCCCTGGACACACAAGGTACCCTTTGGCGTCTGTATGAGACCTTTCTGCCAGAAATCCTTTCTAACACATGGTCAAACATGAAACGCTCGCAGTTTGGTTAGGTTTATGCACGAAAACGACATGGTTAATATCATAGTTTAAAAATGAAAGTTTGTTAAAAGACATGCGTGTGCCACACTGTGGAAAAAGAGGAATTGTGATACCCACTGGAAAGAATCATATCCTATTTTAATCCAAAGTTAAGAAATACTAAAGCCATTCAAGTATAAATTCCCGTTGGTTTTGGGGAAGTACTCAATACTTTCAGTTGCATGCTTACACTGCTTCAGAAGACAGGTATCTAAAAACTGGCTGCTTGGCTCAGTATCACTGTGAATGAGATATGTCTTTTTTAAAATTTGGGTGATTTTCTATGTAATATTTGTGTTTCTTTCTATGGCAGGATGGTTGGTCCTTGTGTCCAGTGTATCTCTATTGGCACACGCTGGCTGCAGGATCTATGGAGCATTGTGCTGAGCATCATTGTTCGTCCCTTCTTCTTGAGTGCTGGGAAATGCTGCGGAGGCTTCAGTATACACCTGGCTAAAGAATGAGACTCACACATCCAAACTGGGATTGTTTGTTATGTGCGCACATGCACTGGTGTTAGTACACTGACCCTTAGTGGGCAGTGCAATTTGATTATTTAATATTTAATTCAAAAATAAAACATTTAGAACTACATGTTTTCCACAGTTAAGAAGTCCAACAGTATCTGCTGGTCCTTTTTAATGATAATATATGGTGTGTGACATTTTAAAACAATAATGTGAACCTGACACAGTGACAAAAAGAATGTGATATCATTTTTAATTTCAGCAAGTTGCTTTTGTGAGACCAAAAAAAACAAACAAAAAAACACCAGTGCAAAAGTTTTTTTTTTTAAACTTACAGTGATTGATTTGAAGAATTGTTTAGCATGCAGTACTTTTTCTCACACATAGTAGGGTTACGACTCTGAATGATTTGTAGGTTTTTAAGTAATTTGAGCATTATTTGTTGTGCAAATTGAATGTTGTATTATCCTTATGTCATAATGCTTGGGTTTGATTTTATATTTTGCTAATCTTTAAAAGAGTTTATGCTCAAGGAACAAAAATGTACAACTACTATGACCTAAGTTTTGTTACTGATTACTAAGAATATTCAGTTTTGTAGAAAATGAGAAAATGTATTCTTAAGGGAGGAATGGCAATTAAAGCTATGAACTAAAGTATGTTTCTGACCTAAACACAACATAAAACATAATTATTCTGTTAAATTCAGTGAAGGGGCAGAGGCTTTCAGCATTAGCTAACCCTAACCCTAACCCTACTGACATATATATGAGTCAGGAAACAAGATCCAAAGAACTATGAAGCTATGGCAGCCACTATAACACACTGATTCCCTACCTAAGACTAATTATTGTGATTAAAAGAGATATTTATAACATTATCTGTTACACCACTTTTGGATGGATAATATGGAGGTAAGCAGGACACTGATTTGTATTGTTTTACAATATAATCACCTTCATATATTTATTCATGTGATTGTTTTAAGCTTGAAAGCAAATGTTGTGTATTTAATAACTTTGGTTTTATATTGGTTTATATAGGCAACACTGAAGTTCTTTTTCTTGCACTTTTTGGATGTGGATGGAAATCAATACACATGATACATGAACTCACCATAGATCACACTTACTGACTATTTATTGAGCAGTCTGGCACGTTCAGTGTGAAATGCAACATGAGCCTACTTCCCTTTTTGCAAAAGGCTTTAAGTCACTGCTTGAGTTGTCACATTTGTACAAAAGATTACGCTATTGTGTGCGCAAGTGTGTGTGTGTTTGTTCTTATATTTGATGTGATATGTCAGCAGTGCTTTCTGTATCTCTGACAGTTTGAGGTAGTCAACACTGGCAGCTGCCTGCTGGCATTCCTGGATTGGAATAACAGTGAGTGGCGTTTCAGTTTATAAACTGCCCCTCCCCTCCACTGCCCTCTGCAGCCACACTGCAGCCACACATCCGACCTCTCATCTATAAAATGGATCATTATCTCAGCTTCAGTTTCAGCTTCTCCTGCTCCTTCAGCCAGAGAGCAGGACCATGGATGAAACTGACCGTACCAGGGAGCCGCTGATCAGTAGGGAGGACCACACCAGGGAGACAGACCACACCAACAGGGATCCAAACCAAATTAACGAGGATTTGATCAAGGTCCAAATAATCCTCTCTTTTTACTTAATTTGTTAGAGATTAATTAAGCCAAAGTGTGTCTTACAAAGTAATGCTGCTTAAAACTGTCATCTTTTGGCCTTAGATCATTTTGGCCTAACATTGATTCATGATTGTATCGTTGAGTTGACTATACGTGCTGCCATGCACAACAGATTGTAAACTAATTAAGTCAAAAATGTTTTGCTTTAAGAAAAGGTGAAGATATTGGTGTTTTTTTCTTGTTAACAAGTGTTTTGGTGGATAGATCTTAAGTGTATTAGGGCTGAATTTTACTTGACATTTTTAAAATCTTGGTAGTGACTTTAAGCTTACTGGTAGTTAAAGCAGCTACAAGGAACTTATTCACGTTTTTTTGCCTGTTTCGATGCCACCCTAGCTTCTCCTTTGCGCTTGGAATGGGAAGTTGAGGTAAGTTGGTGGCAATTTTGCAAGTATACATGCTAAATCATGCACTGGTCCTTTAAGCTATAAGTCCACCTTTAAAGGGTCAGTTTACTCCGATCAGAACAACATATTTTCCCCTATGTAGATAGATTATTTTTGCAGAGGGTTTAAGATTATAATTAAAAAGTATTGAAACATACATTTATAAAACCCAACATTTTCTGTTTCCAAAAAACAATGTCTTGGCTATATATGGCCTGAGGGATAATATGTTTATTTGTGATTTGTCTTTACTGACCCTTTAATCTTATAACCAAACAGTAAACAGTAAATAAATGAACCCTCTCTGTATGTTTTAGATCAACTTTGAAGATGTGATCGCAGAGCCTGCTGGCATACACAGTCTGGATTGTGTATGGAAATGCAGCCGCGACACCTTCACAGTGTCAAAGTGCTGGTTTTATCGCATCCTCACAGCCATCCTCGGAATCCCTTTGTCACTGCTCTGGGGTCTGCTCTTTGCTTGTATGTCATTCTGCCGCATTTGGGCAATTGTGCCCTGCATGAAGACCTGTGCGATTCAGTTCCACTGTCTGTGGAAACCCTACTTGCTGATCTTACGCTTCTTGGTTCAACCAGTCTTCGATGCAATGGGAAAGATATTCAGAGGCGCTAAAGGGGTTTTACGCAAGGAGGCGTAAGCTCTGTACTGCTGAATTATTCAGGGATATGGACCAACTCTAGCACATCTCACTGACTCATAGAAGGTCCACGAAATATCAGGCTGCAACAAACAAAAGGTGTGGGATCAACAGTCGCCATTTTTGTTTGTTAGTCTAGATTTTGAGCTGATCAGTGTCTACATGTCTTCTTTTTTGATACAGAAAAATATAAAATTTGTCTAATCATGTCTTTTTATTCTATGTGGATGTCAGCCAAACTTTAAAATAAAGTATTTTTTATGAAAGGTGTCATTGCCCTAAAAGTACTTTCTCCCTTTCTCTATTGACACATCTTTATGTGAACTTCCACTCTTCCATCTTAAAACTGCTCCCATGGAAGTTACTTTGAACCACAACATTTTGCTTGGCAACTTTCCAAGCTATAAAACACACCTAATAAGCCAGGAATGCACATTATCTGATCCTGACACTGAAATTCTCCATATGTTGAGTATAAACAGTTGGCACATTTCCTCGAACAGTACAGCAAAAGAAATGAAACAGAAAAAAAAGAAAAGAGTATTTGTTTAAGTATTCCATGTGGCCACTAGAGGGAGCCATTATTCTAGTTTGATCCTAACTTGATTAAATGTTGTAAAATGTCCAAGTACAATGATTACTCCATAACACCATCAATCAGAAAAGAAGAGATGGAGTTGATAAAAAATTATACACACAAGGAGCAGTGGAAACTATTTACAAAGTGAATTTCACATTACATCATAAAGGACAAACACTGTTTGATATGTAGCATGTCTGCTGAAAACATTGAAACCAGCCTTGCTGTAAAATGCATTCCTCATGGATTTTGCTTTGTTGATGAGTCTGTGTTGTTACAATGGAGATGTTTGGATTAAGGAGTAGATATTAACTTAATAACGTTAATATCATTAATGCATATGAACATTGTGATTTAACCACCCATAATAATGGAACTATACAATTCTTTTACACAACCTAGTGCTGTCATTACAGTAACATAATTGGAGCCCATTTACACAGAGCAACTCTTTTTTTCTTTGTAGAAAGAATGTGCAACATTAAGATAACTGTTGTTATAATTACTTGTCCTTTAAGGTCAAATCAGGACAATAACTGTTGGAACAAGATTCAAGACTGAAAGACAGAAGCCTAAAACAACTTTGAATATGCCCAAGGTTGTTTATTATTTTATGTATAAATCTTGAAATGCTTCCTACATTATAGGATAAATTTATTATGTGCAGGACTCCAGTGCAAAGGGAGTCAAAAAGGAAAATGGTGTTGTGGGAAAGTCAAGGGCACACATCCATAGAGATAGAGGCACAAAGACATTTTGTTCTGCTCTTTGTTCACAGGATGCAGGGCATTGTTTAGGCAGCAGGTTTACATCGTCTATATGCTCAATTTAAAACACACTGCAATGGCCATCACTGCAGATAATTAAATGCCTGAAATCAGGAACTTGCATGATTGCTGGGTTACTTGACTACAGGAAGCATGGATGGCTTTCAGCTGGCTCTTCAGTGTCCTGGCCCTCCATTGCTGGATGTGTGTGTGAGGCTCCTCTGGCTGCTCATGTTCTTGATGACATAAGTGGAGGAGTTGCTTTTGTGCCTGCCCTGTTGATCACCACTGCAGGAGGAGGGTAGGTACTGTCGGCAGCAGCAGAATAAGCACTGCATCAGGTCCTGGAACAGGTGACCAGCAAAGAACATGTAGATCCAGGGGTTACAGCAGCTGTTGAGACTGGCCAGTAACATGGCAATGATGAAGGCCATGTCTAGAGAGTTAGACAGAGAAGAACATATGCTTATTATTATGTATGTTTAATTTTTACAATCTTAATACAAAATTGAGGTTGAAAAATCTAAAGCATCTTAAAGAATATTTTCTATTTTTTTATTATTTTCAATAAATCCCATGAAAAGGGACAAATTGACAATGAATTTATACTACTAACAAACATTGTCTGACAAGTGAAAGCCTGTTATATCTTATAACTCTGTGCCATAGAGCTCCATTGTTGTCAAACATTATTAATAACACATCAATGATCTACACCATTACATTGGGTGACATGTTTCTTCATTATTACTAACATTGGCAGTGTAGTTCCTTTTGATTTAATGTTTACTACTTACTTATACTTTTAATAATAAAAATTATATATATTTGTGAGCCATTTTTAAAGATTTCCATCTTCAGTAGGAAGGAACCAATGGGGTTAGGGCTGTGTGCCATAGGCAGAGTAGAGAAAATTAAAAAAAAATAAATAAATAAAATAAAAAATATTAAGAGATGGACTAAAATGTTGTTGCTTTTGGTGGGATTTGTGGACAAGGACTGGCAACCTTATCCTTAAAAGCCTTGTCTATGACCTGCACCCTGCCTCTCACCCAGTGCACGCTGGGACAGGCTCCACCCCCCTGAAGGATAAGCAGTTTAGAAAATGAATGGATGGGTGGATCTTTTAAGAGCCTCTAAAGTAACTAGTTTTTCCTCAATTCTATAAAGATGTAATGACCTGGTTGTGGGCAAAGGTCCAAATTAAGTGAGTGTGTACTTTGTTTGATATTTCAAGCCTCAATTGTAAGTGTTTTTAGCCATTGCTACTATCATGCATTATGCAATGTCGGTTGGTCTGTTGGTTGGTCTGCCACTTTGGTCCAGAACAAATATTATATAGGTTACCATGGAATTTTGTACAGACATTCATGGTTCTGAGACGATTTAATGTTTTGACTTTGGTAATCTCCTGACCTTTCCTCTAGCACCACCAAGTTGACCCTCTATTTTTATTGAAATATCTATGATATTTTGTACAAACATAGTCCCCTGAGTATTAAGTGTAATAACTTTGACCCATTTTCATCAAGCACCATCATCAGGTCAAAATATCAGTTTGCCCAATACTTAAGTTTATGCTAATTAGCCCATGGGCATACTAACAGGCTAAGCTAGCAAGCTCTTGTTAAAATTGTATTAGTTCTTGTCGTGTTTTTTTCTTCAATTTTAATTCATGTTAAATGGCACAAGCCACACACACACATTTACAGTCCATTGACGGATAGATATTAAAACCTTCCCTGGATGGGTTTGGACTCCCAATTTCTCCGTTTCTACTTTATTAATATCAGTCTCCATTCAAGGCAGTTGCACTTGTATTACAAATCATTTATAGAGAAATATATGAACTGACAGTCAGAAGCATTTCAGACAACCCCTGAAAACATTTGGGATTACAGCTGAAAAAACATTGAAGGTTGATGGATGCCACACAAATGTGATTTTAAGTTGCTTGACACCAACATGATAAATGGCTTCAATTAGAAGATGCTGTCCTGGATGGAAAAATATACCTTATTTTATTCAGTCATTCAATTGATTAAATTTCCAGTCGTTAGAGGCACAGAGCACACTGAAGAACCACACCATCTGAAGAGTGGAAAGTGGATGACTTCCAGGTTTTTTTTTTTCAACCTTTAATGGGGTAAGAGAGATTTAGTGCGCGTTGTCTTCCTTTCTCCTCAAGCGAAAATGCTGACCTGGTCTGTTCATGGTGCTCTGGCTCTGTAGTCTATTCTTTATTGCTGTGCACAGTGTCAACCAAATGGCCCGTCAAAATAAAATTACGATTCAACAGATAAATCAAACACCCAGTCTGGAGTTTTGAGATTATTTGGTGCCATGGGGAGCGCAGTTCTTTTAAAAAAACACAAAATGACAGCAGTCAAACTTTGCTTCTTTTCAAACCTTGACCTACATTCACCACTTTCTTGTGCTGCCAGAAATAAAAGAAAAACATTAATCTTGGCCATCTTCTGCAATATCATGATGTACAGCTCTTCTGAGATTGAAGTTGGAAAAAAGGAGGGAGAGTGATGTTGAAATTCAGAAGGTGATGTATCTTTGATGATACGGCCTATTTTATTAAGAATACGTACTCTATCAAAAGATAATTCTGAGGATAAAAAGTTAAACAAACATTGTGCAAATCAGCTTCTCCTTCACTATCAGTGGATCCTGCAGATTGTAAAAAGTGATGATGACTGAAGTTCAAGCCCTGCAAGAGTGTGTTGATTTTCACTTTGATTGAACTGCCTTCAGAAACTCATCTACATGGAGTCTTAACCTGAGGGGCATCACTTCAGAGAGAATGCAATAAGTCAGTTAAGATGTACACAAAATCAGCTAAATTTGAATCATTTTACTTCCACACCTGAGTTGAACAGAAGCTTTTCTTTGAAAAGTTTTCTTTGAAATGAACATGACTTGTATCCCTAAAAGCATATTAAGATATATCAAATCGATCACTTCTCTACTCTCTTCTTCTTTCTCCTATGGACATGTTAGCCATATATGTGTGACTTGTTCTTACTTCAATTATTTATTTTTCAGTAAGATCGTAATGACTGTCAGTAACAAAAACAATATTTTTGGTTTTAATCTCTGAATATTATACAGCAACCAATTCATTATAATGTTATAATGTCTAAGACCACATATCTCCAAATGTGGTGATTTAGATTTTTTCAGATGAACTGGAAGAGTTAGTATTGCTTTATCTGTTAAGAAGATTTTCCTACTTATTTTTATTTATTTTATTAGATGTTTTGGGGATGTTACGCCTTTATTTGATAGGACAGTTGAAGATAGACAGGAAGAGCAAGTTGGCGGGAGACACATAGCAAAGGGCCGCAGGCGGAAATCAAATCCAGGCCACTACAGCAACGACTCAGCCTTCATGGGGCGCGCGCCTTACCAGGTGAGCTACCATGTGCCCTGGATTTGCCTACTTCTTAAGCTGAATAAACCATTTAAAAACACTGTGTTATTTTAAAAAAAATATAATCATATCCAAAAACATGAAAACTGTTGTTTTTCTTGTGAATCTTGATAAAAGCATTTTGGAGATACATGGTTTTGACAGCTACGAGGAGTTCACAATTTCATAGTTTAGTATTTCTATTTCAGTATGAATGTGAAATAAATATAAATTTTTTCAACATCAATGACATGTTAATTGTGGCTTTTGGATGCTTTGGAAAATTACACGTTAAAAACAACATGGTAAAACAATGTTTACAATGCTAAAGTGTAACAAGAAATAGCCTATAGTGGGTGAGTGATGAGTCCATCCCTCCCACCATATGGGGGCCCTTATTGCAACATACACTTTAGATATGTAGTGTACAGCATTGCATTCTTGTCTTTAATGTGTTTATTTTACTAATTTTGTGCAAAGCTGCTTGGAAGAAGTCTGATATAGGAAGATGATAAGCTTGGCTCAGTCTAGCCAGTTTAAGTTATATCTAGATCGCCAAATGAACACACTAACAATTTTGCTAAGATAAAACCAATTGAGAGGTCATGGAGCACATCTGCTCCCCTCCCCTTGTTCTCTTTAATGTCAATCTCAAAGGGGTTAATTTTGAACAAACTATGCAGTTAAATGGAAATTATATAAACCACCACTGGGAACAGAGATAGAAACTCTTTGATGCTTTGGTACATTTACCCTCCCACTGAAAGTTCTCTGAACTGATAACCACTGTAAATGACACTCTCATTCATCTGTGTTCACCCTCGGGAAGTCTGAAGTTAAACACCATTGTGCTGCCATGGAAGTGAATTGGATTGCTTATGCATTCCCAGAGATATTCTGTGAGGGAAAAGAATGACCTTTGTATGTATGAGACACTTAGTGCTGAAATATTGTTGTAGAAAAACAGATTTTTTTTTCACATTGTGGGTTTATGGGCAATAAATTCCCCAGTATAAATCAAAGATGATGTTCTAGTCATTGTGTCACTGAGCACTTGGCACACTATAAAATATATGCCACTGGTTTCCGGTGAATGCAGAGAGATAGATTTAAAGAGATTTATGTCAAGATTAAAATTTAAACTGCATAAAGAAAAAGGAAAAAAAAAATCCAAATGTGCCTTTACCTTCTCTTGGTGCAGCAGGATCCCATGCAGACCACATCTGGACAAAGAAGAAGGGAGTCCAGCACACAATGTAGGCAAGGACCACCACAAATGTCATTTTCACTGTGCGGATTTTTGCTTTTGAAATGAGCCTCACACTGCTCACACGAGTGAGGGGATGAGCGCCTTTGGAGGGCCTTGCAGTCAGAGCCAGGAAGTGCTCCCTTCTGGTCTTTAAATTGAAATTCTGCCATATTTTAAAACATATCAACCCATAGCAGATGCTTAAAATTGCCACTGGGAAAATGTAAATGCTGAGACTCATCCATGTGATGTATGCTTTGGCACCCCAAGGTTGTACAAAGTCCCCCCAGCAGTCATACACGCCGTCTCCGACCTCTCTCAAGGAAAATATGTACGCTTGAGGAGTGCTGAATATCAGACTAAGCATCCAAGAGGCGATTACGCAGAAGCGATCCTTTCTCTTGTGCACGGAGCGAAGCGGCTGGCAGATCGCTAGGCACCTGTCAATGGACATCAGGACAAGCATGTAGGTGGATGCAAACATACCCACGACCTGGAGGTATTTGACCAGCCTGCAAAGCAAATCCGGCCCATAGAAGCGAAATGTGATATCCCAAATGAGTTGCGGCAAGACCTGAAAGATTGCAACGACAAGGTCTGCGATGCTCAGGTGCTTCATGAAGTAATACATCCGAGACTGGCTGTGCTTGGTGGCGTGGATAGCCCACAGGACGCACAGGTTGCCGGTCAGAGCGAGCAGTAGCACCAGGACCAGGACGGTAACTTCCACTTTGGCCACTTCTTCGTTACGCTTCAAAGGATTCACTGTGGTGTTTCCTAAATGACTATCATTCCCGCGACTAGAGTTGCTCCAGGAAACATTCTGCGCCCAACTATTCTGCTCGCGTAAAAAGTCCTCCATCGTGCGTAAAAGCGCCACTTTGGCGCAGCCAACGGTCACATCACAGAACAGATTCAGTACCGCTATCAGCTGTGTGGTAGTGTAGTTGCCCTGCGCAATTTACTGCCACATCACTCCATTAAAGTTGGCTTTGTGAGTTTACCTCAGGATAAATTACTGCGTAATCCAAAAGTCAGCTGTAGTCTGCAGAGAAACAAAATGTATCACTTTTATTGGAAACACTGGATTCATCTCAAGCATTTGAGCTAGTAAAACTTCACAGAGAAATTGTATCATCACATAACCATAGGAAGAGATTTTTTCCTAACGAATCTTACCTTTAAAGCGATCCTTTGCACAGTTATTTGGGGACATCGGAGCACCGCAGTCTGCATCAGCAGCTGTGTCCAGTTTGATGTCTGGTTTGCTGAAGCTCTGTACCAATCTCAGTAACCCCCTCCCCTCATCTTATTTTCCTCCGAAGGAAACTGTTTGAGTTCAGTATGAGCAGACTGCACGTTACAACTATTGAGTGTACGTTTTGACTTTGTAGAGTTTTGTGATTTGTAAAATCAAATGTCCCTTAACAACATTTGGGCAATGCTAACCTTTATTGAGCAGTGGGTCCGTGCTTTTAAATTGATCCCTTGTTAGACTCAAAATGAGGAAAATTCCACTCTGATCGTATACAGAGGGTCAATTGTTGAGGCAAAGAAAGCCACCAAATATGGAAAGAGATGCTGTCTGGAGCTGGAACACATTTGCTTTGATTTAATGTAATAAGACTGTGATGCTGTAAACTAGTACTTTAAGCACAGGCAAAATCAGAGATGATTGGTGAAGTCAAAAAGCCTAATTCAAGTGCCAGGGCAGTGAGTCATTATATCATTGCAATATTTGTGCAATATTGAGTATCCAAACAGAACAAAACAGCTGTTAAAAATAACTAACTCCCTAAGGCAAGTCCCCTAATTGTTCCCTGGAAAGCATGAAGGAAGGATTCTTAAGTACTAACTCAAAATATTCTCCCATTTTAGGCCCATACAGTACATTTAAGCAAAAGATAGTCAAAATGACTCAAACAACTATCTACTTACAACTAAGTATTCTTTACTTTCACGCAGGAAAGTGGCTGTTATTTTTGTTACGTGTCATATATCTTGTTTTTGAATGGAACCCTTTATTCACTCACATCCAATTTAAAGTAGGTAATCATTTAATTGCTGTTTTTAAAATTCAATTTGCACAATAACCTGATTGTAACAATAAGGTTTAACACAAACATTTGCCTTCTGAATAGAAAAAACAAACATTACCTTGCCTGTATGTTGCTGAAATTGACAAATTTACATAAATCATTATAAATATCTATCTGTAAAAAAGATCTGGTCATTTTAGTAAACCTGGTTATTTCTGATTTTGTTCAGTCACAAAGAGGCAGGTCACTTGTTAGAGAAAAAATGATTCATTGTTCTCAACCATACCATGAACATGTGACCATCACATGTAAGGTGTGAACAGTTTGTTCCTTTAGATTTATTTGAAACACTTAGTTGAACACAAAGATATCTTGTTGTGCATGTGCTAGGTATACAATCTGAACAGACATGTTGGCAGATAAACAGTTCTTTTTTCCCCCCAGGATACCAGGTCATGTAACATGCAGTACAGCAACAGCAGTGACCCACAGATGTGAAACACCCAAACACAGTCCCGCTACAAAATAAAGTACTGCAAACTACTACCAAACCAAGAAGAAACAATTCAATTGAATGTAAGTGTGTGTGCAATTAATGTACATTTTGATCTGTTTGAATAATCATTCCTTCATCATATCCTATCACTGATCGCTGGTGCTTTAAAGGGGTTGTTGGCATCAGCCATCAATCTGTGGGTTAGATGATATAACTGTATGCAGTAACACTTTGTAATTCATTCCACATAGTCCTAAAAGTATGTAATATGCTGTATTTTCACTGATTAAATAATGTGATAATTAAAATCAGTTTAAACTGTTTTACTTTGCTTGTGCAACATCCATTCCAGGTGAAAGATTCTGAATATCTGATTAAATCAGTCTTTAATGGCTATACAAAAGTGCTCACTGAAAAAAATATTGTGTATGCAAATCCAGGGAATTAATGTTTTAATTTTTTTCTTTAATTTTTAGTTTTTTTCAATTAAGTGATACATGATAGAATATTTTATTAAGTTATTCAGAAATTATGTTTCCAAGGTTGGCTGTTTCCAGGACTACCTGCTGGAGTCAAGATACAGCTGCTCTGTTAGATGAGAATTGACAATGCTTGGGCACCAATGAGCAAGCCATCCAGGTGATTCTCAGTGCAGGAGACTGTGGTACAAACCCAGGTCATGTGGGACGAAAGATCCAACAAGAGATCAAAAAGTGAAAATGAAAAAAAGGGCTGCTGCAGATAAGGTGAAAAAGTCTTTTACTGATCTTTTTGAAAAGAATGCCACAAGAAAATTGTACAAAGGGCAGAATGAAGGACATGTAACAGACTCATGGCATCTCATAATTCACTGACTTTGCAGCCACACGCATATTCCAAGACATATGCCAGATGGCTGACATGCAATATTTTACTGAATCAATATAAGAGGGTGTCAACTGTTAGACCTGTCATATGAATGTTCTGGTTGATAAAATAGACATTTGTGGTCAATACATCATCCAGCATTTCATAAAAACAAGTTGAGGAGGTTGCATGTAAAAACGTGTCGTGGGCTGTTCTTTTGGACACACGTGCCATTAAAACCCCTAAAAAACTTGTATTCAAGTATTTTTCTGTGATATATGATAACGGTCCATTGTGTAACATTTTGGAGAATCTATTGGCAGAAATGGAATATAATATTTACAGGTAAGGTATATTTTCATTAGTCTATAATCACCTAAAAATAAGAATTATTGTGTTTTCGCTGCCTTAGAATGAGCCATTTTTAGCGACATGGGGAGCACATCCTCTTCTATGGAGGCTGTCATGTTGAAATGTTCTGTTTCTACAGTAGCCCAGATTAAACAAACCAAAAAACTGGCTCTAGATAGAGCCTTTCACGTTTTTCAAGAGGTTCTCAATAACCATCATTTCTCCTACATGCTTGAAACAGAAGGGTGAGGCAAGGGTGTTGTACTTACCAACTACACTACTAGGTGCCACTAAACCTTAAACAATGGACCTTTAGTCATGACTAAATAAGCAAAAAATCTAAAAGTTTGATTGTGTAGGTGTGATTTGATCACATTTGATTGACCTGGCAATATAAGCAACCCCACAACTGTCATCACAATTTGAGTCTAACCTTTTCCTGACACAAATCAAGAATTTCTCATGTAAAAATAACAAAAACTGTCCCAACCTTTGCAGGTTGTAATTGCAATTGTAAAAGCTGAGTAATAGGACCTATAAACTGCTGACATCACACATATAAACAGAATGTATGAAGCACCAACATACATGGAACATGGAAAAGCAGAACAAAAAGTTGTTTTTGAACCTTTGGGAAGTCCATGTGGTCGATTACATTAAACAATAATGACTACAAGGCCCCCAAGCTGCTGCTTAGTTTGTTTATGCCTCAGGCCAGCTATAAGTGCATCAGCCAAAAGTCTGTGCAAAGTTTTTATCATTCATTCAAAAGCATCTGAAGACGTCACTGATTTATTATGGCAAACTGCTTTAACATTAATCAATATTGGGTGTCAGACATTATGTAATGCATTAATGAATAGTACCTTTCACCATGGGCCCATTAATTTATTCTTTACTGAGTAACACATACTGTGTGGTACATAGGGTTGTATTGAACCCACATACCAAGCACTGGCATCCTGTTGTGTACATATTTTAACAGCAAGAGCTAATTTGTAAGATGCTTGGTCCTAAAGAAGATTTGACATGTTATTGCAAAGAAGGTTTTGACTATGAAACATAACACAAACAACATAAACTGAAAACTGGGAAATACTTAGAAAATCTCCCAATTATACTATCTCTGCTCTGGCTCCTGCCTCCTCTTCTCACATTAGGGTTTAGTATCATTAGAAGCCTTGTCTTGAAAATAAACTTGCCTCAAAAGGCTCTGGCCAGTAATTATTTGTGTGTGAGAATTAATCATTTTTATATTGGAGATAATCTATCTTAAAATGTTGGCAGAGAGAGGTGAATGAACACTAATAATGAAGATCTTTCCAGACACGATTTAACATGGGCAATCAATCAGTTATTTAAGGATGACATATTCGTTAATTTTCTCCTGTGAAATGACCTAATAGCTAATTCTAATTGCACTAAAATGTACAATTTTAACATAATGCTGAAGTGACATAGTGTATTTATGAATTTTAAAACATTTATCTGGTATCTAAAAGAGTTTGCACATTTTAACAATGCAATTGCCCTTTAAAATAAATGTTTATAGATATTTTTAAGTTTAGAAGCCAGATTCTCTAACAAAAAGATGGCATCAATCAAAGGTGATAATTTGTTGTTTTTTAAAAGTATAATAAAAGTTACAAACCCACAACCTAATATTCTGAAAATACTTACATCATGAGAACTTTAAAATGTTTTCAGTGTGATTTTTAACTGAAATATATCCCTTATTACTGATACTGTAATTTTGATAGGTTTGTAAATTAGTAATGCAAAACTTCCAACCACTTTGTTTTAAAATGGAACTTGAGGCCATGAGATAGAAGACGAGTGTTATTGCTAATCTAGTGACTCCTACTGGTTGGGTGAGGGCTCAGTTTCCATCTCTTAGAGACCTTGATGCATTTTAGTCCCTGTTGCTGGCAACCCCTCTGTCTGGCAGGGTAGTGACTCCAGAACCGCATGCGGCTCCTCAGCCCCTCTCCAGAGGCTCCCTGTAGCTTTGGCAAAAAATTTAATGGAATTGGATAATGGTCATTTTTCAATATTTCTGCTTATTATTGTTGGAGGGTCATCTAAAATGTGTGTCATACCTGGTGTATTTTCTTTTATATTTTGCCAAACCTCACTATAGTGGGGGTTACTAGTCTTCAAGCCTTAAGTCCCTCTAGCCAGGCAAGGTATGGATTTCAAACAAAAAATAAATAAATAAATAAATATACTGTATATATATTTATATATCAATTAATATAGATAATAATGTAATAGTGTGTAGACATGTTTGTTTGCTTTCACCACCAATGCTGCTGACTTACAAGGCCTACACAAAATAAAGGACCAAACATACCCGTTCTTTTGTCTGTTTTCTTTGTGGCAACATCTCTAAACACACTGCAGTCACTATAGTTAGCATATGTTTTCAGATCTGCCTCACTTGTAAGTCTATATCAAGCTCAACTTTGACTTTTCCCAAAATATTTACCAGATGAATGTAGGTTGGTAAACCA